GCTATTTCTGGGCTGTACCTTATATCTGGTACCAAATATCACGGTTGTGGAGTGAACATTACGAATGTAAGGGACTAAAACACTAAATCGGATGAAACATATATATGCTTGCTATATCTATATCTGAACCGATTTTCACTAAATTTGATATACTTGCTTCCAGGCTGAATTTGGTCCGATGTACTAAAATTCAGTCCATTTGGGCTTATATCGGCCATTTGGAGCACAATTAACCCGAAATCGGATGAAGATATATATGGGAGCTATATCCAAATCTGAACCGATTTTCTCCAAATTTGTTGTATTTACTAATCTCTAATCTCGGTCACATGTGCCAAAATTCGGGCCATTTGGACTGATATTGGCCATTTGGTGGTCAATTAACCCGAAATCGGATGAAGATATATATGGGAGCTATATCCAAATCTGAACCGATTTCGATAAAATTTAAAACAGCTATTTCTGTGCTCCATCTAATACCTGGTACCAAATATCACGGTTGTGGAGTGCATAGTAGGAATGTGAGGGACTTAAAGATCAAATCGGATGAAAGATATATATGGGAGCTATAGCTATATCTGAACCGATTTTCTCCAAATTTGATATACTTGCTTCTAGGCCGAACCCGGTTGGGTGTGCCAAAATTCAGGTAATTTGGACTGATAGTGGACATTTGGTGCTCATTTAACCCGAAATCGGATGAAGATATATATGGGAGCTATATCTAAATTTGATCCGATTCTCACCAATTTCTATAGGGTTCGTCCTTGGGCCAAAAAAATATTGTTTGGAAAATTTCATCTCAATCGGATAATAAATGCGACCTGCATTTTGTTCACAAGAATACATGGACAGACGGACGGACGGACGGACGGACGGACGGACAGACGGACGGACATGCATAAATCGACTCAGAAAGTGATTCTATGAAGGTTCTCAAAAGTAACTATGGGTCTATCTCGTTTCCTTCTCCATGTTACAAACAAATGCACAAAGACATAATACCCTTACCACTATGTGGTGTAGGGTATAAAAAACAAATTCTTTCAAATAATTATATGAATAGGACCATGCTTCATTATAATGCTGATTTTAACTATTACCAGGGTCTTTGTCACATTTTTCAATTGATTTTGCCCTTATGTGTCATCTAGCTTCTGGTAGAAGACCTCTTTCAATGTCAATGTTTTGAGTAGCGTTCATATAAATGTACCTCCTGATATTACCTATTTCGAGGTTTTGATTAAATTTTCTAATCGATTTGACTTTGAATGTGTGTTTAGGCTTTTTCTGCCCCCAAGAACCATCTTACATGGGCCTATTATAAACAGTTAATGTATACTTTTTAATATACATGCTATATTATATAGGTTTTTAACTCTCAAACTAAAACCTCTAACTGAAAAATAGGATCAGGTTCTTTGAAAGAGGTATTTATTTATATTTAATCGAGTCATCATTTACACTAAAAAATGTGCCACTTGTGAATTATTATGCTTTAAAAACTATGCATTAAAGACTAAAACAACGGGCCGGCAACGCGGACTGGGCCAGCTAGTACATATAAATTTTTTTGAAAATTTCGACATTTTGTGGTGGTGTTCCAGAAGGAGTAAACCGATATTGCCCATCTCCGAACTCGATCTAAGTTTATAATAATATTACTAAGTACCAAGCTTAGACCAAATCGGATACTTCCTTCGAGAGCTATCGTGCGCACCAGCCAGCCAAACAGACCGACGGACATCGCTTGATCCATGGTATAATAAAAAGGTAAGGTAGAGCTTCTAGCTGATAATAGTTTTTTTTTCTAAGTGTGCCCGACTTCTGCCAATATTGTGTATGTATTTTTATACCCTACACCACATAGTGGTAAGGGTATTATGTCTTTGTGCATTTGTTTGTAACATGGAGAAGGAAACGTTACTTTTGAGAACCTTCATAGAATCACTTTCTGAGTCGATTTATGCATGTCAGTCCGTCTGTCCGTCCGTCCGTCCGTCCGTCTGTCCATGTATTCTTGTGAACAAAATGCAGGTCGCATTTATTATCCGATTGAAATGAAATTTTCCAAACAATATTTTTTTGGCCCAAGGACGAACCCTATTGAAATTGGTGAGAATCGGATCAAATTTAGATATAGCTCCCATATATATCTTCTTCCGATTTCGGGTTAAATGTGCACCAAATATCCACTATCAGTCCAAATTACCTCAATTTTGGCACACCCAACCGAGTTTGGCCTAGAAGCAAGTATATCAAATTTGGAGAAAATCGGTTCAGATATAGCTATAGCTCCCATATATATCTTTCATCCGATTTGATCTTTAAGTCCCTCACATTCCTACTATGCACTCCACAACCGTGATATTTGGTACCAGGTATTAGATGGAGCACAGAAATAGCTGTTTTAAATTTTATCGAAATCGGTTCAGATTTGGATATAGCTCCTATATATATCTTCATCCGATTTCGGGTTAATTGACCACCAAATGACCAATATCAGTCCAAATGGCCCGAATTTTGGCACATGTGACCGAGATTAGCCTTAAAGCAAATACAACAAATTTGGAGAAAATCGGTTCAGAAACAGCTATAGCTCCCATATATATCTTCATCCGATTTCGGGTTAATTGACCACCAAATGACCAATATCAGCCCAAATGGCCCGAATTTTGGCACATGTGACCGAGATTAGCCTTAAAGCAAATACAACAAATTTGGAGAAAATCGGTTCAGAAACAGCTATAGCTCCCATATATATGTTTTATCCGATTTCGGGTTAATTGACCACCAAATGACCAATATCAGTCCAAATGGCCCGAATTTTGGCACATGTGACCGAGATTAGCCTTAAAGCAAATACAACAAATTTGGAGAAAATCGGTTCAGAAACAGCTATAGCTCCCATATATATCTTCATCCGATTTCGGGTTAATTGACCACCAAATGACCAATATCAGCCCAAATGGCCCGAATTTTGGCACATGTGACCGAGATTAGCCTTAAAGCAAATACAACAAATTTGGAGAAAATCGGTTCAGAAACAGCTATAGCTCCCATATATATGTTTTATCCGATTTCGGGTTAATTGACCACCAAATGACCAATATCAGTCCAAATGGCCCGAATTTTGGCACCTGTGACCGAGATTAGCCTTAAAGCAAATACAACAAATTTGGAGAAAATCGGTTCAGAAACAGCTATAGCTCCCATATATATCTTCATCCGATTTCGGGTTAATTGACCACCAAATGACCAATATCAGCCCAAATGGCCCGAATTTTGGCACATGTGACCGAGATTAGCCTTAAAGCAAATACAACAAATTTGGAGAAAATCGGTTCAGAAACAGCTATAGCTCCCATATATATCTTCATCCGATTTCGGGTTAATTGACCACCAAATGACCAATATCAGCCCAAATGGCCCGAATTTTGGCACATGTGACCGAGATTAGCCTTAAAGCAAATACAACAAATTTGGAGAAAATCGGTTCAGAAACAGCTATAGCTCCCATATATATCTTTCATCCGATTTGGTGTTTAAGCCTCTCACATTCGTAATATGCACTCCACAAGAATGATATTTGGTACCAGATATAAGATACAGCCCAGAAATAGCTGTTTGTAATTTTATCGAAATCGGTTCAGATTTGGATATAGCTCCCATATATATCTTTATCCGATTTCGGGTTAATTGTGCACCAAATGGCCGATATAAGTCCAAATGGACTGAATTTTAGTACATCGGACCAAATTCAGCCTAGAAGCAAGTATATCAAATTTAGTGAAAATCGTTTCAGATATAGATATAGCAACCATATATATGTTTCATCCGATTTAGAGTTTTAGTCCCATACATTCGATATTTGGTACCAGGTATTAGATGGAGCACAGGAATAGCTGTTTTAAATTTTATCAAAATCGGTTCAGATTTGGATATAGCTCTCATATATATCTTCATCCGATTTCGGGTTAAATGTGCTCTAAATGGTCAATATCAGCCCAAATCACCAGTCTAGAAGCTAATACGTCAAATTTGGAGAAACCCGGTTCAGAGATAGCAATAGTTCGTAAAATGCACGATAGAATTAGATAGATTTTGATTTTGTACCAAATATATCATAGAGTTCTGCAATGCCCTGTATAAACCTTTTTACGAGAGCTCTACTAAATATGCATAGTGGTGTAGGGTATCATATAGTCGGCCCCGCCCGACTTTTGAGCTTTCCTTACTGGTTTGTTTTGAAAAATGGAAACAGAATATTTTCAAAACCAATGTTTGGAAGGCGCATACATTGCGAGACGCTCCCTGAAGCTATTCGCCAATTTTGCCATGTAATTGAGAGATAGAACTGTTTAGATCAAATGTTTGAAAGAAAATCCAGGTATTTAATTCATCCTTCCCGCTGTTCAACTGATTTTAAAAATTAGGAAAAATATTGATTAAATTAAAACAACTTGTTGCACATAAATTTGACAGGAAGCGGGCTTAGCCTCAGGGCTGTACTTCTGTAGTTTTACGAAGCCGTTCTACCTCCTTATTTTACCATGGCTAGATCGACTCCAAATGCCCTGAAACGGATTTGGTCCAATGAGACTTAAGGTCTAAAACCGTTATTTCGATGAGATACGTTTTGCACGTATCAAATGACATATACGCTCTCTAGCTATATGGCTGAGGGTATAATTAGTCTTCTTGGCCGAAATTATCCAGGCCTTGGTCCAGAGCCATATTTTTCGTTCTATAAAAATGTAGAATGGAAAACGTTTATGAGGAAAAGAAATGTGAAATGAAAACATTCATAAGAATCCAAACCCAGACCTGGGTCAAAATTGTGATTGTGAATTTTCATTAAAGTTAGGGCTGAAATATGTTAATCGTTGCCGCAAAAATGGGTTGCATTTTCCCATATTCGTTAATAGCTTATTCTTTATCATTATAGCTTACAGTCGTACAACACTTTTTAACATCCCATTTCAAATCTCTCTGTCTAGGATCAGGAAATGAGAGTTTTACAACTCGAAGACGATATCAACGAACTACAAAGTGATATCGAACATTACAAAGATTTGGTTCTGGACAAGCACCGAGAATCACTGTCGTGGGAAACTAAATATAAGCTCATTGAAGAGACTCTGCGTTGGCGAAAGGAAGAGGGAGCCCTGGACAGTGAATTGGGAACGATGCGAACCGAAATCCATCGAATGCAAATCAGACATCAGCAGCTGAGAAGGGCCCAAGGAAAACTCATCCAGGATCTCGATCACTGCGTCATGCATCGCGAGCACATATCGGCAACAGCTTCGAGCAAACAAACACTCGAGCAATCGAAGCCATCCAAAGTTCGCCGGAACACCACAACGATCCAGTATAAAATCAACGATTTGCGCAATAAACTGAAACAAATGCAAACGGAAATTAGTCTTCTCTCCGACCAGCAAATCAGGCAACTCCAAAATGACTACCGCTGCCTTGAAGATGACACAAAGCGGCTGAGGGCTCTCATCGAGCAAGAAACCAAGGAAAATTCCAAGTTAAAGGCTGACATCGAGGTTGGTCTCTTGCAGAAACATCAGAATCTGGAAAATATCGTGCGCAAGCAAAATCGTGCCAAATCGTATCGGCGCTTGAATGGCTCAACACAGCCTTTCAAACTGCCACGCTCCGAGGCAACGATTCTTAGCCAAATGCAAAAACAAATGGAAATGAACGACCAGTTGATGGAGGTCCTTCAAGTGCTCAGCACCGATCATCCCGAACGGCAAATATATTTCTCAAAACTATTGCAAATTTTAAAAACTTAAAATCCGATTCAAATTTTATGTGAGACAAATTCCAGGATTGAAGCACATTAATGCGGAAAGAAGTTTCTAACTAATAACATGATATACAAATAACATTATATACGAAGATGCAAAGGCTCTGAAAATACAATTTTAAAACTTTATAAACAATTCGTTCGTTTTTCTAATTGCTGTTTTTTGTTTACCTTCTAAACATTACCTAATCGAGGCAGAGTATAGAAGGTACAATTGGTAGGAAGGTTAGAATGGCCTGTCGCAAATATGTCAGGCTATTTTGCTAGCACATTTCTAACATTAGATTATTACTGACGCTTTGAAACAAAAAAAAACGACAAAGAGTAAAGTAAATAACTTTACTTCGAAGTACTTCGGCACGAGACGGTTCAAAATATTTCTATGCCTTTGCTGGGTATGGAACACACTCGTGTTGAAGTCATATGTAAATTGACTCTTTAACATTTTAAAATGAACACTTTTGTAGCAGACTACACATTTTAAACTTGAGTGAAATGCTATACTTTGTAAAATATTTATTTTGCAATGACATAGAAAACAGGATGAGATGAAAAACCTGCAACCAACTTCAGACTGCTGTCATTTCTAAGCCACTCGTCGGACAGCTGTTACAATTATTCCAGTGACAGTTCATTGTATTATTTAGAAGCCACAAGTGGCTATCGTTAGAGCACTCCAGCATTTAAATGTGAATAAAGCTTTTGTGTCTCGCACCATCGCTTGTTACCGTGATACTGATAGCGTTGCCCGACGTCAAGGGCTATGCGGACGGAAGAAAACACCAACATCAGCAGAAATGGTTCGAAAAGTAAAGAAGCTCGGGGTGTTCCAAAAAGTGCAAGAACTTACACCGCAACAGAAAGAAAATAGACGCAAAAGAGCCAAAGAGTTGTTTCGCTTGGCCGAAAGTGGTGAACTGCCGAAATTGGTTTTCTCCGATGAGAAAGCATTCGTTGTCCAGCAGTTTGTAAACAAACAAAATGATGGTGTTTACTTGTCAAAGGGGTCAGGTGAAAATGTGCACCTTCGGTTGGCCACCAGAACTCAAGCGCCGGCCATGGTGATGGTGTGGGCCGCCATAAAAGCCGATGGTCGCTCTCCGCTCGTATTAATCGACCGTGGCATCAGAATAAATGCCGAATATTGCGAAAATATTCTGGATGGTGTATTAAAGCCTTGGGCTCGCAAACATTTTGGCCGCAGATCTTGGACATTCCAACAGGACTCAGCACCATCGCACTCAGCAAGCGAAACCAAAAAAAAGGTTATAAAATGAGGTTCCTCGCTTCATTTCCAGCGCACAATGACCACCAAAATCTACGGACACCAATCCGTTGGACTATTGTGTCTGGTGTATTTTGGAAAGTCAGGTTGGCTCTAAAAAATACCAAAGTGTCGATCACCTCAAGCGAGCGCTTCGCCGGGAATGGACCAAAATACCGCAGAGCAACATTCGGGCAGCGTGTGACGGTTTCATTGGCCGTTTGAAGGCCATAAATAGTGCAAAAGGTGACCAATTCAAACAAATTTAAACTTATTCTAAAATTTGATGCTATTTCCGACATTTTTTGCTTTTATTCAATTAAATTTAAAAAAAAAAGTAAAAATTATGGCGTTTGACTTTGTTGCAGTTTTTTATCTCACCCTATATATATAGTATTAGCTGTTATGCTGTACTGTAAAGCGTTTGCTTTTATAAAACAAATTGTGTGAGGTGCCTTAAAGTATGTTATAACCAGGGTGGGGCCGACTATATGATATCCTACACCACTATGCATATTTAGTAGAGCTCCCATAACAAAAGAATTTATTTAAAGTAGATCATACCACCTATCAACATTTGGCTTTAGAGCAGTTATAATTTGGATTCAGAGGGAACTAATATGTGTACAAGTTAAAAAGCGGTAATTACTTGTTATTTATTTGTTGATTTAACAAAACGTAACAAAAGAAGGTCATTCTGATTACAAACAATTAAAAAACATTAAGTTCGGCCGGGCCGAACTTTTAATACCCTCCACCTTAGGGTAATAAAAACATTAGAACCAATTATAAACCACAATTACCAATTTTTAGACATATTCTTGGTAAAATGTGGCCAAAATCATCACAATACCGAATAGCGGGAGGTACTGCTATATGGGGGCTATGCCAAAGCGTGGACCTATACATACAATGTTTCGCCAACGGAACTAGAACCTATTATGACCAACAAATTCCAACTTTTAGACAAATCCGTGAAAAAATGTGACAAAAACCATGAAAACCGTTATATGGGGGCTATACCAAAGCGTGAAACTATACATACAATGTTTCGCCAACGGAGCCAGAACCTAAATGACCAACAAATACCAATTTTTAGACAAATCCATGAAAAAATGTGGCAAAAATCATCAAAATAACGAATGTCGGGAGGTACCGTTATATGGGGGCTATACCAAAGCATGGAACTATACATACAATGTTTCGCCACACGAATTAGGACCCATTATGACCTACAAATGCCAATTTTCAGACAAATTCGTGAAAAAGTGTGGCAAAAATCATCAAAATACGTAATATCGGGAGGTATTGTTATATGGCGACTATACCAAAACGTGGACCGATAAATCATTTTCAATACCAACCATCCTAGACACAATACAAATTATTCTGCTAAATTTTGTAGCTCTACGTCAAATAAAGTGGCCTGTATCATGATTTCAACAGACAGCCAGACGGACATCGTGATTATGCTGATTATATATATATGTATAAAATGTTAATATACCCTCCTTTCCAAGATGAAGGGTATAAAAATACAAAGATAAAAAAATTAATGCACAGGGACACTGATTATAGTTTATTTCTAATGACAATGGCAACAGTTGGTTTTGCTCTTTTCTTTTTATATTTTTCTAGTGACTATTTGGTTCAAATGTCTCCATATAGCGCTGGAAACCCAATAAAAAAAGTGATTGGCTCAATGGTTCAAACGTCACCATATAATCTCAAAAGATCTAATCTTTTTCTAGTGAATATTTGGTTCAAATGTCACCATACAGTCCCAAAAGAACTACTTAGTCAATATAGTCATGGTCTACTGGTACTTTTCCTATGGCAAGCCTATGTCAAATGTCTATAGGATTTTTGACACAAGTTTGCTAGCTCTTTCTTATTGCTTTAAATAGCGAAACGCTTTGTAATCGGGGTGCATAACTATTTTTAAATTTTTGTGGTGTTCTAGAGCTTCTGCAGACCCAGACATCCCTTGCAAAAACTTCTTCGGCTTTTACTTTGCTATCTGTATTTTCCATTTCAAGTGTTATGCGGTCATCCTCGGTATTTAGATATTGAACAATGGAGAGATATTCTTCACGGATTTGCCTAAAAATTGGTATTTGTTGGTCATAATGGGTTTTAGCTCCGGTGGCGAAACATTGCATGTATAGGTCCACGATTTGGTATAGCCCCCATATAACGGCACCTCCTGATATTCGTATTTTGATCATTTTTGCCAATTTTCTTCGCGGTATTTGTGGGTCGTAATGGGTTCTATCTCCTTTGGCGAGGCATTGTATGTATAGGTCCACGTTTGTGTATAGCCCCATATAGCGATATTTCCCGATATTCGATATGTTGATGATTTTTGGCACATATTCCCATGAATATGTATAAAAATTGGTATTTGTTAGTTATAATGGGTTTCCTTTACCCTAAGGTGGATTTTGAACATATTTTGTTTTAATTTTTAAAACCAAACCAATCTATAAGTACACAAAATTGACTGAAATCGGGCACACTTAGACTAAAATTGTAATCAGCTGCCCTACCTTACCTTTTTATTGTACAGTAATAAACAACACTTACAAATTATTTAAAAAACAATCAACCAAAATTCATAATTTACTTAGCCAAATGGAGTTACTTTTAAGAAGCGTTTGAGTAATTTCATCAAGCAGGACGTTATAAGATATAATATGCATTTAACTGACTTTATGGACACCAACATTTTTTTAGAATATGTTAAAGTATAGCTTGGTTTATATGCAAAAAATGTTATTTCCTAACCAATTTTACAAACATAAATTGACCAAAATAGTTAGCACTTACATTATTTTTTATACAGAACTTGCAAACCAAATTTTGAAACTCATTCATTTTAATTTAAATTCATTTAAATTTTTGAAAATTATTGATCCTGAAAGATTGATATAGAAGGGAAATAATTCTTTGTTAGATATTTGTAAAGATTTACCCACTTTTTTAGGAAACGAATGGCAATATTCAGAATCCCAGTGTAGGGATATTGGCTTATTGCATTGTTAGGTAATTAGAGTTCATTTAAAAAAATATTTCCATATACAGACATAAATACCTGAAAAACTATCAATGTACTATTCCTACCACGTAGTGCTGCGCATATAGTATTATTTTTCCATGGCCGCTAAAACACACTGTGTTATACGTAAATCTTAGAGATCTCAGATAAATATAAAATTTTTGTTTTTAAATAAAAATGTGTTAATCTTTTCCAAGACTGATTTCTTACCCTTTTTTATTGAAATGCATAGTTGTGCATATTCTTTTTCTGTTCTTAAGATGATTTTTCTCTAAAAAATTGACGGTTTTTCTTGAAATTTGGTTCAATAATCACGTCTAATATGCCATTGCCACAAATTCATAATATTCCGGTGCATACTTTAGGGATGTAATCAATTGAGTAACTATGATTAAAAACTTAAATATAGATGGCGCTAATGTTTTAAACAATCGTCCAACAAACACAAATCAAATTATAAAAACTATAGACCAATGACATATAATATTCTAAGATGGGACAAAGACATAAAACTATATAGATTGGACAAAATGCATATTGGTTTTAATTTTTCTATCAGGTAACAGATAGCAGGCGACATAACAGAAATGCATTGGAAATTTCAGAAAAATATATTATTCCGATATCGCCGAAAAATGCGCGGAAAAAATATCAGGTATGATAGACATGCTCTCAAAAATCTATTCCAGAGCGTTTCCTTGTAAGGTAAGTGTACCAGTAGTCGGCACATTTAGGCTTTTCAATATTTCAATCTTTCGACATTCTGAGTGAAATCTTTTAATTGCAGAAAAATAAAGTTGTTCAGATTCCATAT